AGTGCTGTGCTGTAAGTTTTATCAAAATATTAAAATAAAAGCTGAATTTAGAGGTAGCTAGTGGAAACCTGTTGACGAGCAATACGTAACTGAACAAGCACATCACTTCGCGGAACCCTAGGGTTCCGCGGAACACAGGTTAAGAAACACTGGTCTAGTATACAACTGTTCAAATTGGTTCCCGAATAAAATTACTTATCAATAGGGCAGAAGACTTGTAGCTCTAAAAAATCACCTGATATGCACTTAAATATACAAAATATGCATTAAAAATATGCACTTGAATATACAAAATATGCATTTTAAAATGAATATTTTTGAACGGGTGCCAGTTAAAATAGTGTTTGAACCATTCGAACTTTTTTGAATTCTAGACAGTCCTAAGTCTGAATAAATGGGAAGGAAATTGTTGCTGGTTGAATATATCATAATAATTTGAAAAGTTAATTTAACAAGGTTGTATTATCATGAAAGCTTGTGGGAACCAATTCGTATGTTACCTGTAGACAATCCGGGAACCAATTCGTAGTCGTCCCAATTTTCAATGCTATTAATAAGTTAGACAATGCTATGAACCAAATTGTGCCCAGCAATTTATCACAAAAAAAATAACAGATTTCTTTAATATGTAAAATATAATAATATAATAAAAAAATATTAATTAATAATTATAAAATATAATATGTATAATATATGTCAAAATAAATGTAATATGTACATACATACAATAATTTTTCACCTCTCTTTAATTCGAATTAATTTTTTTCTCTTAATTATTCAAACACTCGGTAAATCGAAAACCTCTATAAATCGAATTTTTAACTTGGTCCCCTGAATTTCGAATTATCGAGTGACTACTGTATTCAATTTAATTTATATTCTTGGAATTCTTCTTATCGCGGTTTATTTTTATTCTACCGTTTTGTGTATTGTGTTCAAGGTCTTGCCTCTACGCGCGTTTTTTTTTAAACGCGCGTTAGATAGCAATCAATCCCAGAAGATTAGGACGTTTCCACGGGAAGAAAAACGCGCGTCTCGGTTTACCAATTATACTATAATTTATGCGAAAAGTGTGAAAAGTACAGGAGTTGGTATAATTGGAAAAAGATCGAGAAAATCATGACTGTCAAATTTCCATTAATGTGAATTGTTTTATCACGAAAACCGTTTTTTCGTTTTATAATTTTTTTAATTTTTCTACTTACTATGGACTCGAGAAACGAATGTATTGATACTGAACTATTTATAAGTGCAATTGAAAATGAAAATGCGATATGGAACACTCAAACTGTTGAATATAGATTGAGAAATGCCAAATCAAAGGCCTGGAAAAATATAAGCAAAATATTTTACGATAATTTTGACGATAAACCAGTAGCAGAAAAAAAAATAACATTGGTAAGTACACTGTACATAAACTATATTGATTACTCATATTTTTTTATATAATATCATAATTTTTACAATTTTATCTATTTAGTTTAAAACTGACGCTTATAATTTCAAAATCAAATTTAATTACCATTATAACTAGTTAGGTATGTCTCATGAATTAAAATTATACCTATCTAACAAATGTTTTAATAAACCATGTAAATCACTATCGTAAAAAAGATTATAACTATAATTTGTATTTTTTATATATTACATATTATATTATATTAATAAATAAGACTAAATTAATCGAAAGTTAATAGTGAAATCACTCTCACAAAAAAAAAAAAAAAAAAAGTATAATATATATTATGAGTTTTACGTGTGCACTCCTCGTGAGTAGACGTACAGTGCCGTAACGACCTGCCTTATCTTTGTAATTAAGCTAATCATCACTGTTGTTATCCAAGTAATATGAACATTTTAATTTACTCAATCTACCCACCAATTTAATTTAATTACCAATCTAATAGTTTTATAATAAATCCACCAGCGAAATCTTCGCTATCTCACAGTCATATTAAAAATACCAAAAATAACTCAAACTTAACAATTCACCCAATTAAAATTGTTAAAAGCAATGACAACACAAATAATTGGCAAACGGTACCGATTAGATCACCTTCAACTCCAACTTCCCCCAATCCAAAAATACAAAAAACCAACTCTTTTTCAAGCAAAAATCGGTTCTCAGCCCTCGCCACCAACGAAATATCAGATTATTATTATTAGCATATGGCCTCGGCATAAAATAAACAAAAACAAAATAAATAAATAAATAAATAGTAATAACAATAGTAATAATAATAAATAAACAAATAAAAGTAGGTAACTAAAAACTAAGAATTTGGTAACTGTTGAGTTAAGTTGTGTCATAGTCAAATATCTAGATTTTCTAGCCATTCAATCGCGTTTTCTCCACCTTCATGTATGCCTCTCAATCCCCCATCAAATTTTGTTAAAGGACAGGTCTCGACTATATGCCTCGTTGTTTGGATATCTCCACAACCACAAAGAGGTGACTCACTCATGCCCCATTTGTGGAGTAAGTGATTGCATCTACCATTAGCAGTTCTTATTCTGTTCGTTGCAGTCCATAATGCGCGAGGAAAGTCAAATCCTGGAAGTTTCTGGGTCGAGTCTACAACCAGCTCTGCGTTTATCACTTCGGCGTCCTTCCAGCGGCTTTTCCATTGGACCTCTGTGGTCACTTCTGTTCCAAGTTCGATCCAGACTGGGCTTCTAGACTTAAGTCTTTTTACTGGATGTTGATAAATGTCCTCGTATACCGGGAGGTTTGGGTTTTGTTTTATTTTATTTAACAAGGAATGGGTTGCTGCTTTTCTTCTCAGGTCAGGAGGAGCAATGTGTGCCAGGACAGGGAGCCATTGTATTTGAGTACTTTTTACTGTTCCTGAGATAATTCTCATGGTATGATTTAACTGCGTATCGATTTTTTTACTGTGAGCGCTTCTTGTCCAAGCCGGCGCACAGTACTCTGCTGCACTATACACCAGTGCCATGGCTGAGGCATGTAAAGTATTTGCTTTACAGCCCCAGGTTGTACCAGCTAGTTTTGAGATTATGTTGTTCCGTGTTTTTAACTTGTCTTTCAATTCCATCATCTTTCCTTCTAGATGAGGTTTGAACGTAAGAGCTCTGTCCAACTTTACTCCTAGGTATCTGGGGGAGTCTTCATTTGGAATAAATTCTCCATTCACATTTATCTTGATTTTGTAATTTGCTTCGCGGTTATTTAAGTGAAAGGCGATCGCGGCTGACTTACTTGCATTCAGAATGAAATGCCAGGTTTTTAAATATTTTTGAATTATTGCGAGATCTTTGCCAAGATTATTCTCTATTTCTTCGAATGTTTTTCCCTGCTTTACAATACCGATGTCATCTGCGTAAATTAATTTTCTAGAATTTGTCTTTACGATGTCTGCCGTATAAACGTTGAAAAGAACTGGGGATAGTATTGAGCTTTGTGGCATACCATTTTGGAGAACTTTCTTTTTACTTATTTCGCCGTCAAGGTGAACCTTGAAGCTTCTATCCGATAATAGTCTCTCAAACAATCTGAGCAGTGTCTTGCAATTTATAACTTTTGCTAATTTAAAAAGTAGACCATTTTTCCAGACGGAGTCATATGCTGAAGATAGGTCCAGGAAGACCGCTCCTGACTTCAGTTTTTGTTGGAATCCGTTTTCCATATGAGTGGTAATTGCCAGAACTTGCTAACTACAGCTTCTTCCTCTCAGAAAGCCGGCTTGTTCCTTCGGCATTATACTTTCAAGTTTGTTTATGATTCTGTTTAAGACTAATCTCTCGAAAACTTTGTAGACCACTGAGAGCAGAGATATAGGTCTGTAGTTCTTGGGGTTATCTCCAGCTTTATTTGGCTTGAGGATAGCGATGACCTTAGATTTATGCCATTCGTTAGGGATTTTGCAAGTGTTTAATACTGAAGTGGAAAGTTTTGCTAACCAAGTTCTACCTTTGGGGCCAAGATTTTTGATGAATTCTGGCAAAACGCCGTCCTCTCCGGCCGCTTTTCTGTTCTTGATATTCTTTAAAGCTAAGTCAATCTCATCCAGCATGACGTCCCTTGACATTTCAGATTTTTCCTCGGCTTTATCAAATTCTTCTTTATAGAGTTTTTTGATCTTGATTTTTTTCTTTTTTTGACGGTTTTATGTTAGAGACTTTAAAGAGGGCGCTCGAGACAGCGTTGGCTCTGACACAGTTTTCTTTATGCGCTGGTTGAGCGGCACCTAGTTTCCTTAGTAGTGCCCAGCTTTCTCTACTTGAATGGGCGAAGTCTAAATCTTGCATTGCTGTGTGCCATCTCTTTCTACGTTCTTCATCGAGTAATCTCACAAGACGATTTGCTGAAACTTCGCTTCCATCTACTTCGTATTCTTTTAGGAGGTCTTCGCATTCTTTATTCCAACACGGAATATAATTTTTCCTGTGGCTTCTAGGTATGGATTTACACGCGGCTGATTTAATTAATTTCACGAATCGGTAATAATTTTCAGGAAGAGGTTCAATACGGTTTATATTGTCCTCAATATATTTTGAATAGGCACTCCAGTTTGTCTTCCGTATATTCCATCTCTGTAATTCTGGGTTGTTTACTCTGGGAAGATTAATCCCAACATCTATGGCTACCGTTTTGTGTTGGCTTTTGGGAAATTGTTTCCCTATTCTACGATTTACACTAAGAGGCAGTCCTGTTGGGCCCATTGAGACGAAACATAGGTCCGGAGAGGTAGAAGTACTCCATCTTCCTGATATAAAGGTTCCTCCTTGTTTAGCATCGAATTTGAGGTACATATGGTTTATAGATTCCCAGTTTGAGAGTTTCTCACCGTTTTCATCAGTATGACTGTAACCCCAATCCGTACTGTGCGAGTTAAAGTCGCCTATAAAAATTGATGGATGGTAACTTACTGGAAGAACCTGAGTTGTCCAACTTTCGGACGGAGGCTTGTATACGTTAAATACTGAGAGGTCACCTATTTGTATTCCAATTGAATGCTCGTTTCCTTCTACACATTTGACGAGTCTAGGGGGCCATTTATGGTTTACGTACGTGGCTATACCATGTTTGGGATGTCCTGAGAAATTTATCAGTTGAAAACCGTTAACTTTCAATCGGTTCGTTTTATCATCTGGAACATGAGTTTCTTGAAGCGCGATAATGTCTGCATCTTTGAAGGTTTGAGCTATAATCTCCGCTTTGGCTCTTGACAATCCTTCAACATTTAGTTGTATGATTCTGATGTTATTTTTTGACTCCTTGTCTCCAAATTCGTTGTAATTAGTTGTGAGAGTATTATTTGATGTTTTTTGGTTTTTTAAGTGTTTTAAATTTTTTTGTGTTTTTTTATGTTTATATGAAATTTTTTTTGGGGGGTAGCCCTGAAAAGGGCTGTTTTTGCCGATAAGGCCAGGAAGCCCGAGAGCGTTTGGCCGCCGGTTTGATGTCGTTTTGTTTCGTGCTATCATCGTATATGTTCGCAGGTATTGCTTTAGAGACGTATACTTTGAATTGACAGTAGCACTACTCACAGGGAGGACCACGAGAAGGTACGACATCCCCCTCACCAAATATCAGATGAAAATTCAAATGAAGTCGAAATGCTATCCCAAGGAATCTCAAACGTTCAACCCAAAATACCACCTATATACATAAAAGACGATATCGATTTCTTCGATTTCTGCAAAAAAATTAAACCGTTCACTGACCCCGACGGGTTTACCACTAAGAGCTCATCATCCGGTTTAAAATTAATGACGTACTCAATTAACGCATATAGACAAATAATCAAATTTCTCGAAATTAATAATATGAACTTCCACACCTACCAAACGAACGAAGAAAAAGCTTTCTGAGTAGTAATCCGCCACCTCCAATCATACCACACCAACAGACTTCATCAAAGAAGAGCTTCATTCTCTCGGTTTCATCACTCGTTCAATTACTAACTGTCTTCAATACAAAACCAAAACCCACTTCCATTATTTTTTCAAGACCTGGAACCTTCTCCATCACACCATAACATTTACAAAGTCGATTCAATTTGCTATACCAAAATCAAAATCGAAGCACCTCATCCAAAAAAAAACCCAGTTAAATGTCTAAGATGCCAAAATTATGGACATACCAGAACTTATTGCCATCACACACCCCGATGTGTAAAATGTGGTGATATCCACCTCTCTTCCGAATGTCAAAAGGACTCAAATACTCCAGCAACATGTGCCCTCTGCTCTGGGGATCACCCAGCATCATACAAAGGCTGTCCCAAATTCAAACTGCTCCAGAAAGGACGATCTTCAATCAAAACCAACAGGCCAACCGAAACCCAAGACTCCTCCTCAACTTCAATCAAAACCAACACCATTCATGAAAATAACTTTCCCCCACTTTGTCAACCCCAATGGAGCACCTCTCAATCTACCACAAAACAAAACCTCCCCAATACCCACTCCAACCCTAAAAAAAATCAAAATCTCACTGAACCCTGTGTAAATCCAAATACCGATTCCGTTACAACCCAATTAACAAATTTCCTAGTCCAATTCCAATCCCTAATAAACCCCCTTATCGCACTACTCACCAAACTCATTGATACTCTACTAGTTAAATGACAAACTCTTACTCAAACAATTCACCCCTCTCTCTCCTACTCTGGAATTCAAATGGCTTACAAAATCATTATCATGACCTCCATCTTTGCCTCAACAGTCGAAACATTGACATTGCGCTTATCACCGAAACTCATCTTACTCCTAACAAAACCTTATTCTTCCCAAATTACTCCACTATCCGAACCGATCACCCTGATGGTACAGCTCACGGCGGAGCAGCAATTTTTATACGTAATAATATCAAATAGTGTATCAGCCCTCCTACTGCTAACCAATCAATACAAAGTGCAAACATCCAATTGAACATCAACAACACAAACACTACCATTGTTGCTGCATATTTCCCCCCCCCCCCCCAAATCCAATCGATGAAATCATCTTAAATGACTTCTTTTCTTCTCTCAACAAAAACTTTGTTATAGGAGGTGACTTCAATTCAAAACACCCTCAATGGGGAAACAACATCACTGACACCCGAGGTCGCAACTTACTCAAATTTATAACAAATTCTAACCTACGTACTATCTCACCCCTACATCCCACCTACTGGCCCTCTCACCATAACCGAAACCCCGATATTCTCGATTTTTTCATAGTTTCATTCCCCCCAACCTTGCAACATTCAATTCTAAATATAAACGAACTTTACTCAGATCATACAGCTGTGTTACTCTCCTTGAATACAACTATCCCCACCAATGTCAAACCTAGCCTCGCTAGAGGTCCTGGACAAAATTCAAAGATATCCTAGATAATAAAACAATTCTAAAAATACTATTAAAAAATGCACATGACATCGAAGTAGCAGCTCTCAAGCTAACAAATAATATCCAAAGCGCTATATTTGATTCTTCGTCCAACCCTAATAAATCTACTAAACCAAATAATATCCCGAAAATCCTAAATGAAATGTTAGCCCAAAAAAGAAGAGCAAGAGCCAGATGGCAATCAACTAGACACCCTCTGGATAAACACGCACTCAACTCCATTTCTAACAGATTAAAAAAAGAATTTTATAAAATTAATTCAGAACGCTACGAAAATAATATCACCAAACTTCAATCAACTAACGGCTCCCTCTGGTGTAAAACAAAAAACATATTAAAACTCAAAGAACTTATCCCGCCAATAAAACTACCCAACAACAAGCTAGCCATATCTGACTTGGAAAAATCAAACACATTTGCCGAATATTTTTATGAAGTATTTAAACCTAACAATATTAACCCGCCTATTAACCATTTAAATAAAATCAACCAATCATTAAACAGCGCTCTACCCACTACAACACCTCCCAAACACTTCACTCCAAATGAAATTAAATATACAATCAGAAAACTAATAAATGGAAAAGCCCCTGGACACGATCTCATTACAAACAATATACTTAAACAACTTACAAATAAAGCAATTCTCAACATTACCCACATCTTTAATGCAATGCTCCGACTTTCTTATTTCCCACCACTCTGGAAAATTTCAACAATCATACTAGTACACAAACCTGGCAAACCCAAAATTACAACATCTTCTTACCGTCCAATCAGCCTCCTACCATCTCTGGGTAAATTATTTGAAAAACTTCTATTAAAACGCCTCCAAAATATCTCCGAAATAAATAAAATCATTCCTAACTCACAGTACGGCTTCCGAGCTCACCATTCTACTATTCACCCCCTGCACCGTCTCACTGATGCCATCTCATCATCTCTTGAACTAAAAAAAATACTGCTCGGGTGTCTTTCTCGACGTCGCTCAAGCGTTCGACAAAGTATGGCACAACGGACTCCTCCACAAACTAAAAACAAACTTTCCAGCCCCATATTATTTAATACTCAAATCTTATCTTACTCATCGTTCTTTCCAAGTAAATATAAACAACTCAATTTCAAACCAATTTATGATTAACGCTGGTGTACCCCAAGGCTTTCTCCTCTTTTATACCTAATTTACACTGCAGATATACCTACAACCTCTTGCACCATCCTCAATACTTTTGCCGACGACACTTGTATCCCAGCCACCGATTCCGATCCTACAATAACAAGCTTCAAACTCCAACACCACCTCAACTTACACGAAAACTGGTTCACACTATGGAAAATAAAAATCAACACAAACAAATCCAGCCACATTACTTTCTCCCTCCGCCCAGACATTTGTCCACCAGTCAAACTTTGTAACCAATTATTACCCCAAACCAACCAAGTTAAATACTTAGGACTCATTTTGGACAAAAAGTTAACCTGGAAAGACCACATATTCGACAAAAGAAAGAAACTAAACTCCAGATTACATCTACTACGTCCTCTTTTACGATCAAATTTAAACATCAAACTCAAAATCCTTATTTACAAAATGTTGATCTTTCTTCTATGGTATTATGGTATTCAAATTTGGGGTAACGCTGCTCCTAGTAACATCCAAAAAATACAATCATTCCAATCTATTTGACTTCGCACTATTACAAAATCCCTCTGGTTTGTAAGTAACAAAACCCTTCACTCCGACCTCAGAATAAATTACGTAAACCAAGTCACTAAAACTGCTTACCAAAAACTCCACAAAAAATTTAGCTCCCATAGTAACCCCAACATTAGTTTTCTTGCTTCACTACACATCCCTGACAATCCCCCTCGAAGACTCAAACGTAAATGGGTTAGAGACCTACTCCATTAATACTAAAATACCCAAGTAGGTAGCTCCATTGGGAGCCCTCCTACATCGTGCCATTTCATGTTATGTAATCCTCTTCACCACTATTACTTGTTGTGCTTAATTGTATAGTTGTATATTTTCATATTAAAAAAAAAATATATATGATATAGATATATAGGTAAAATTACTATATACAATACACTTGATAAAAATAATTACTAAATACAAATTTATAATAATATATAATATAGTTCATTAAATTTTCGAATCTTGCCATGGTACAGCTCCGATATCACTTTCGAAATACGTAGAAAAATGATCACGAATGGTATTTGCTACTACGCCACCTTGCACATTTTCCTGCTGTTGTAAACTATTTAATTCGTTTCTCTTACAAAATTATGTAATATACAACAAGCCTTTATTATATCTTGGGCAAAATCTGTGTTTACATTAATTGGTCTATGAAAAATTCTCCATTTGTTTGCAAGTATCCCAAAAGTACATTTAATATAATGTCTGCTTAAGATAGTCGGTAATTAAAAATACGTTTTTTCTTCGTCAGATTTTTCCTTTATAAAGTCTTAAAACATGACGAGACAACCCAAATGCTTCATCTCCAACAATCATATGAGGGCATTTAAGTGTTACTGTGCCTGGTAAAAACTTTTGTGCTGGAATATTCAAAGTTTGATTTTCAAGTCGTTTCCATAAATCAGAATTTTTAAAAATTGACGAATCTGAACTTATACCGTATGCGCCAATATCAACGAATATAAATCGATAATTTGAATCACATACTGCAAGTAAACTAATGGAAAAAAATATTTATAATTATAATATAATGAACCGCTATCTACAGGTTTTACTATTCTAATATGTTTTCCGTCAATAGCACCTATACAATTGGGAAAATTAGCATTTTTTTCAAACCCATGTGCTATTTCCACCCACTGTTCTTTTGTTGGCAAGGGTATACATATGTCCTTTAAGTTCCAAATAGCTTGACACACTCTTCTAATCAATCTGGACAATGTTGTTATTCCACATCTAAATGCCATATGTAAATCAGTCAATGAAGATCCCGCACCTAAATATCTGAAATTAATATATTTATTAAGCACATATACTTTTAACATATTATTGTGTTATTTTATTTTTACTTAATTTCTTTATTACTAGGGAAACAGTTGCAAAGTAAATGGAAAAGCTTAAGGGATTGTTTTGTAAGGCACGCAAATGCTAAAAGTATACTAAGTCGGGGTCTGGTGCTACAAGAACAAAAGAGTACATTTATTTTAACCAATTAAGTTTTTTAAGGGACGTCACAAACAATAAAACTAATACAATAAATAATTTTTCTGACGAGAATTTACCTCAGCATCAAAACTTAAGTGAAGAACAAGAACAAATAATTTTAAAACAGTAATATTAAATATAATACAATAATAATATAATAATAATAATAATAATAATATAATATAATACAAAAATAAGAAAATTAGAAAATTAGAAAACTTGCTACATTTTTTCAGGGTCCTGTTGAAAACCAAAATGTACCAAAACGTAAAAAGAAAAATAGTGAAGATGACAATTTACTACAGATTATTTCAGAAAATATTAAAGTACGTAAAATGCGTGAAGAAAGAGAAACGGCGGAAGACAAAGACGACGAAGATAAATTATTTTTACTTAGTTTAGTGAGCTCTTTTAAAAATATTCCTCAAGAATTTAAGCTCG